ATTTATTGAATCAATCAAGGATTGTTTAGAAGATGTGGCATTGCATGGAAAATATTTAAATGATAAAAATTTAAAACATTTTGATCGTCTAATTGATGTTCTTGCCGATTATCAACGACAAAATAAAACAGAATTAGCCGATAGTCCTCATCTTCTAAGATTATTAGATATTATTATTAAATGTCTTAGTTCATAATAAACACAATCTTTTTTTCTCAATTTATTTATTTATTTTTGTAGGTAAACGTCAAGAATTATTAGCGAATACTTTATTAGATATCATGTTGCCTCGTTATGTTGAAATATTTGCAAAGTTTATTCGCTCAATAAGCGAATGGAAACGTTCGTTGATTTGTTCAATTTACCATATAACCAATGTTCTTAATCATGGTGCTAGTATATCTTCGTCATATCCAAAGAAAATTGGTGAACATTATGCTGCTAAGTTGAAAGTGTCTTCACTATAGTTTATTCTATTAAACTGCGGTTATTTTTATTTGATAGACAGATATATCCTTCTTCAGATGACGAGAAGAAATTTTTTATTTGACTCTCANGGGGGGGTGCAATTTTTCTAACCCCTTTTTAACCGCCATAAAGGGCCCCCCCCCCCCCCCCCCCTCTAAAATCGATTTTCAACATGGTGCATGGAATCTTCATGAAAGTTTCTACAGATACTTGACCAATAAAGGTACAAGTGTAAAAAAATTTTCATGGCTCTAGCTCTTTCGGTTCGAGAGATATACAGGTACCAAGGGGCAAAATGGGGATCCCACGCGCACAAGGATTTTTTCAATACACTTCGAGATGGAGCGTTCGGGCTGGTCTCATTTGAAAGAGAACTTCTTGGTGCTTCAGATGAGGGAAAAGGTTTTTTTAATTTTGATTTTTTTTCTTTGGTGGGATCTACAAAACTTTGAAGTTCTGAAAACCCTATGTAAGATTTTTCATAAAATACCTGATTGCTCATAGATTGAGAGTCAAATAAAAAATTTCTTCTCGTCATCTGAAGAAGGATATATCTGTCTATCAAATAAAAATAACCGCAGTTTAATAGAATAAACTATAGTGAAGAAAAATTTGTTCAGAGATTGATATTTTACAAAAAACTCGTTTTTGAGAAAAACGATAAACAAGTTTTTTTTGTGAATATTACCTGCAACCAACATAAAAATGCAAGAATTGCATGTCAATGGTAAATACACGTCACAGCGCATTGCACTATGATTGTCGCGACGTATCCCACGATAGATGGCGGCACCTATTGGTCGCTATTGTATATAATATTATATAAATATAAGTAATAATAATTCCAACTAACTTAAGTTTTTTGACGAAAATCCCCTAAAAAACTTAGAGATTCAATAATATCTTTCCGGATTTGAAAAGTAGACAACTCAAGCCTCATGCCCATGTGTTTATCTCAAAATCCATTTTTTTGACGAAAATCGACTTTTCGGAGGGGGGAGGGGGGAGGCCTTAAAATATGAACTAAACTAAACAATGAAAAGTCTTTGTTTGTATAACTTCAGAAAACGTTTACATAATGATGCGATGAATAAAACAGATAAATTCTTTATGTTTTATTAGATTATTTTTCTGTTACTCGTGCTCTAGTCAATAAACTCAAAGTGTTACAGTTCTTCGACTGATTCGTGGGTATGAAAAATAATGATTCTGTAAAACACACTACCTTTATTTTACCATGTCTATTCGAAAGTATTTCGTATCTAATTTGTTTTACTTATGTTTTTCACAAAAACTGATAGAACTACTGATTTTGGTCAGATAAGAAGAAATTATTTACATATAATTGACAAGTCCATAAAAATGGCTGATTCAATGAGCAAAAAAATGTCACCATAAAGTTCAATTATATTTTTGGTATTACTAATATACCCAAGCAAAAACGACCCAATTTTTTGGGTTATTTATCTAGATTCAGCTCCACGTACACCTACATGCACGTGAAGCTGAATCTAGATAAATAATCCAAAAAATTGGATCGTTTTTACTTGGGTAGGTACATGAGAGCGAAACAAACCTGACTTGGTCTTCTGACAATTCAACATATAAGGAGGCTCAGACCCCATGAATGTCTATTTGGCTACGGATCTGTATTGTTTTTCAAAAGAGAAACTTTATAAAAAAAACAACTAATTGTGAAATGTTTAATGTACTCGAGTACTCTTTCTTGACACCAATAATTTTGAGAACAGAAAGTCTCCAGTTAACATATAAGCCTGCCAAAAGTAGCGTGCTGCGTTTATAAACTATTCTTAATTACCATCATCAATACTGCGATGTCTTGTTTGCAAACTTTCTACAACTTACTGTTCAAGTGTGTCGATGTGACGCACTGATGGGTTTAAAACTACCTTAGTTATAACTAATTGGAGTTGAAATTAGTTAGAACTAATTTAAATTTTAGTCAAAAATTTACAATAGTTATAACTATCAACTCGCGTTGATTGATATAACTACAGTTGAGAGAGTTATAACTGTGCCATAATACAAACTGAAATGAGCTTTCATAATTTTATTTTGGGTTGGTAGTCATTACTAAAACTGATGCAGTTATAACTGGAGTTGGAATGGGTATCACTCTACCCATTTGGAGTTGTAACTCGTTCAACCGCAGTTATATCGACCAACCCGAGCTGATAGTTATAACTGTATCAACCTTTTTAGAAATTTTCTCAAATTTTAACTTTCAAAAAACAGTTTTAAACCCATCAATGATGAGACGTCTTCTTGTACACATTTTTGTCCGACATCTCATAAGCAATGATCGAAAATGCAATACTAGAAAATTGCAATATTGCTAGAAAAAACAGTCATGAGTATTATGAGTGCTATAAAAGGTGAATCTTCTCTATAGTATAGCTGTTGTTCCGCTTATTAACATACAAAATGGATTATATCATGTGAAGGAATGATTCATAAGTTTGTGTATCATGCAGTGTCGGAATCAAGTTACAATCATCTTTTGAAAAGTTGTTTGTAGCCAAATTACAGTCGGAACTACAAAGGACGTATGGGATAGTGAGAGTCAGAAGTTTAAGAGATGCTGCGAGGAAGCCCCGATCGCACTACCGACAAAACTTAGTTTTCGCTCTCTTCTGTCTCGTATGAAAGCTAGTTCCAGAAAACGATATACACTTGTTTTCTGAAAAGCGATATTGACAAACACATACTCCAGCCCATTTGATGATTTTATATCAGAGACAGGTATGAAGAAAGGTCGGAACTTCATTTTTCTCTAATCACAGTGAAGTTACTTGAGTCTGGATATCGAGATACGTATGTTAAAGTATTATATATAGATTATTATTACAAAGCAAACAAAAAATAAGAGAAAAAAGAGAAAAGAAAAAACGAAATATATCACATGCGTTAAATGTGCTCGTTGTAATTGATAAAAATTATTTCGACATGTGTATGTAGGTTACAAATAATGTACAAGATGAATGTAACTATTGTTGAACAATTTGATGAAAATAAAGCAACATTTTTTGCTAAAATCTGTGATAAATATTTTTACTCATCTGAATTGCTTACATTTTGTTTTTGTATATTTACTACGTTTCAAATTATATTTTGGTTATTTAATTCATTTTTACTGTATATTGAATATAATGATATTCCATCCATTGATCAATATCGTTTACAAAAACATAAACCAAAACTTCGTTTTCAACCCGATATGATTAAAATTATTCGAAATGGAATAATTCGTCATCAAATTTCATCTGTTGTTATGCTACCAGTAATGTATTATCTACTAAATGCATTTGGACATGTCAGTGTTACTGGACCTATTCCATCATTATTCACAATTGTTTGGCAACTATCCATATTCATCTTAGCTGAAGACTTTCTATTTTTTTGGACACATTATTTATTTCATACAAGATGGTTATATAAACATATTCATAAAAAGCATCATCTATATAAACAACCAATTGGTGTTGTAGCCGTTCTTGCAGATCCACTGGAATCGTTGTTTCAAAATCAATTAGGAATTTGGCTAATACCGATTTTGTTAAAAGAAAAACATTTATTAACATTATGTTTATGGATATTGATACGTGTTTATCAAACAGTCAATGCACATTGTGGCTATGACTTGCCCTACATAAGTACACAGTATTATTTACCATGGCTTATGTCGGGAACGTTAGCACACGATTATCATCATCAACATGGAAAAATGAATTATGGAAGTTTTTTTACATTGTGGGATCGTCTAATGAACACACATAAATTAAGTAAAGAAGATTAAGTAGAACGTAACCATGACATTAATGTTTGTTTCAATAAAAACCTTGTTTTGTACAGCTGCTGTCAATTTTTTTGTAATCTTATAATCATGCTAGTGTCTTCCACTCTTGTACATTTCTGTACAAAATAAACTTGGTATTTAGTCAATTCATTTGTTTGATTTAACAGTTTTGTTTTAAAACTGTTGTCTGAAAGTTTTGTCTGACTGTGAACTGTGTTTTTCACAGTTTTCAGAAGATAGTAAAGTTGATTTCCATTGAATAATTTTATGTCAGACTGTGAAGATTGTCGTTTGTGTGAGGTCAGTGACGAAATAATGCTTTTTAGATCTTACAATAATTTTTCATAAGTGTACGAGGAGTGTACGAGTGCAAAAAGAGTGTATGGCACTGAATTGTTGGAAAGAAAAAGCTTGTTGTTTTTTGTAGGATCATCGTAAAATACGACACAAACGTACTTACGTAGAAAATGCTAAAACTTTTTCGATGAAGTGGATTTCAGAACACTTCAATGTGTGACAGATCCTCTGTTGTGTTTTGGGGTAAAATATCAATTTTGAATACTTTTAAATCTGATTCTAAAGCGAAAAGTATTTGTTTTTGAAGATCTAGCTGGGAAACCTCATTCAAACAGTACAAAACTTAGCTTCTATATCTGATATCTAATATGCTGGAAATCAATACTATAAATAGAAACGAACTGCTTTTCAACTATTTCCCATGTTCTTCAGTGTTACTGAAATGCTAGTGTAGGAATGTCACTAGTTTATCCGTTCGGGTTAAAAGATAAATTTATTATTTTTTTGAAGATATCGAAATATAGAGTAAAATATTTTCTCATAGAATGAAAGGTCACATAGCTTTGTTCGTTCTTTTATTTTCATTCTGTATTTATTTTGACGACATCTTTCACCATAGAGCAAGTTTCGGGCCTCAGGTAGAAGTTTGTTATTGAATGAGTACAGAATTACAAGTAAAAATCAACAACGCTTGGCAACGCCTTATTTTACAAAAATACATCTAACATTTCTAGTACCGTTCCTAGTCAAACAACTTCCATCTAGTCAGACTTTTGAGATTCACAATAAAGTTTGCTTTCGTTGGAAGAATAGTAGAAAGAAAGAAAAGGTGTGCCATGTCAGATAAGCTCAAGAATTTTGTTTTTGAAATATTTTGTGTTGTATTCTTTGCAACAATTCAGTGCTGTACACTCCTTTCCACTTATGAAATGACGTTCAATCGTTTCCTCTCGAAGTCAAATGGGATTCATTTTCTCTATCCGAGATATTTTTAACAGAACAAAAAGATATATTTTTCAATTATCAAGCATTATTTAAAATATTGAACATTCATTGCTTTATCTTTTTGATTGTAGTGAGTGTTACACAAAAATTTTATCTCGAATTTCGGACTTCTTTTCATCAACTCTATTGTTCTAGTCACAGAAACTTACTAGATTGAAAGCTTCTACAGACAAGCTCACAATCCCGTCAAAGCTGAAACACATGATATTAACGGGCGTATTATTGTACATAAAAAATGTTATGCTCGTTTTCAAGCCCGAACGTTTAAGGAAGTTTGTTTTGTACGCTACTGTGATTCACTTCAACTCATATGTGAATTTAGAGTGTCTCTTTGATTTGGGAAAAAACGCTTCTAGAACATAAATATTCATTCAATAGGGAAAAGTCCTTCGATTCTCATACAGTGATGTCAATTGAAAAATTTGACTATAATCACTCAATAGTATTATTAGAACTGAATATAAGACTTCAATCACCTCCTACAAAAGTGGGGAGTGCACAACACGCACTAGTAAAAGTACTTATCCTCGATAGATGATACTTCGGCAAGCATTTCGAAAAATTGACAAGTTTTTCAAAAGTCCTCAGCTTGCATATAGTACTAAAAGTAATTGTCTCAGTTTGTAATACTTGGTTTCATGTAATAAAGTACTTTAATTGAGTTTTCGCTTAAAATAAATAATGAATTAAAAAATCAACTCAGAATACATACACACTTTAAAGTATGTCGCTCTGAAAAATACTATGAGCATATAAGAATAGTCGTATTGATCCGAAAAATGTCAGAGAACAGTTTGAAACAGCTCATTCATAGTGGATGTTTAGGATATAGATCTTAATCTGATTGAAGAACCTTGAGAAAGTCCTTAGAATACGGAAGTCTCGATGTTTTCCCGTTAACAATTTTTAAATTGCTTAATTTTAAGGTAAATTGAATAATTTCAGTTTATATAATAGTGCCGAATGTCATTCGATCCCAGTTGAAAACTGAAAATCCAAAGAACTTTATTCTTTTTACGCGGTCTGTGAAAAGTTCTATTGTAAAAATGTTTTTAACAAATTACAGTAAATATTTTTTTGATCGTTACAATAGGACTTTAAAAAATTTCTTATTTAGCGTACGTATATTACGTAATAGTTACATAGTTTATCTTTTCTTTTTGTTGCGTTTTTTTCCCGTCTCTATTTTCATTTGCATATGATAAGAGTGGAACGGTAATAAAATCATGGATTTTCAGTTCTACAACAAAAAACCTTTAGAAAGTTTTTAAATAGTGAAATGTAAATTTGAAGAAAATTGACCACAATTTCAAAATGCAATCTAAGTATTTTTCTTTCTTTGATCTGTTTTATCCTTCTTACTAAAAGGTTTGCTAATTTAACTGGTTTCACAACGCTGACTCATATGTGCGTGGTTGTACTTTCAAAAAAAGAAAACGATAAACAATATATTTAAGTGTAGAAGGACGAAGCGACGTAGAAAAATTCTCATTCGTGTTTTATATTTCATGTTTATAAATCATCGTTCATAAACGAATGAATGTTTTTGATACATATCACCGGAAAAAAATAAAGTTGGTTTTGAGTTGCTGAAAAGTGCTTTGTCCTATTCACCACACTCGATAACTCAGAAGAATTTCAATTTTTGGTAAGGACTACTTTCAAAAGTATAGGAAAAGTTTTCAAACTAATATTATTTTCCTATGGAAATTATTTTGCGCCATTTTGTTTCAAAATTTTTCCTATACTTTTGAAAGTAGTCCTTACCAAAAATTGAAGTTCTTCTGAGTTATCGAGTGTGGTGAATAGGACAAAGCACTTTTCAGCAACTCAAAACCAACTTTATTTTTTTGTTCTAGTGATATGTCTGTCCTTTATTGTTAACTAATAGCACAATTTTCTGTAAATATTGTTCAAAAACATTAGGGTCTAGCGTTAAAAGATTAAAGAGCAACATATTTTAGATTGCGTATGTATTCTGAGTTGATTTTTTTAATTCATTGTTTATTTTGAGCGAAGATATTTTTTCAGTTATCTAGAAAATTATAACTCTGCACTTTAGTGTGTCATATTGCATTTTGATGGAGTTCAACGTTTCTCAATGTAATAGTTGAGTTCCTACGAAATCAGCGTTTTTCTAGAACTAGAAACATCAAGATCCAGAATAAATACAACGCGATAAACTTAAATTTTGTTGTATAACATGCTGTCAAAAGCCGAGAATAAAAATTTATTTAGTCTCAGAAATACTTTTATTTCACTTCAGCTCTGAACCCTGATATATGGGTTGAGGTCGTATATCTAGCTGTTTATTAATGTTATTATATGTAGTAGGAAATTTGACTGCGTATATTTCGTTTTCTTCAAATTCAACAAACTTTCAATTATGTTCAACTAATATTTATTTATTTGGAGATTAATTATGGCGTATGAAAAACGTGCAAATAGTGTGTCATCAAACCCAATCGTTCGTGAGAGCCGTGTAATTAATGACGAAGATTGGGATGCCTTAGAGGAAAAAATCGCAACGGTAGGTCCTTATTTTATAGAAATCATGTGAAACTATATTCTCTTTAAACCCAGAAGTCAACTTTCATATCACTGTGGTGACGAGAATAGCTAAACTTCGCGTCGGGACCGCGTAATGTGTTTACTGTAAAATTACGAAGTAAAACGTGATTTTGTCGTGCCCATACGAAAAGCGCTCACGACTCTCGAATATTTTACCACAATCGCTATTTTATCGAGATTTTCATCTACAAATAATAAATGAGTCTCGCTGTTCTCACCACGATCACTTTTCCTCACGACCACTCTGATCCATTTCTTTTCTCATGATAAAAACTTTCGAATTTAGTCAAAGGTCAACTGTAAACTGTCTTTGACAAAACTTTTACAAATTTTTAAAAGATCAGAAGAAGTTAATATTCTTTAAGTCCAAGCAAAACGAAACAGTGAATTATTTGAAAAATTTGCCTTGCCACAAGTTGTAGTTCGCCTTCGACTCAATCGAGCTAAGATAAATTGTCGCGTCACAATGGCGAATCAGAAGAGTTTATCGCTGTCAAGACTTCTTAGCTCTTGTAACACAGGAAGTTGACTTGACGCTACCGATTCATGCAGTCAAATATCGATTCTAAGGATTAGATCTCAATAAAAGGCTGTTTGCATTCTAATGTACAGTTCTTGAAGTAAACAATGCTCAGTTCGAACTTCTATTCTTATATTTTATTCCCGACTATTAACCACATTGTATACTATTATAAAAAAATCAACATGAACAATGAAAGATGACTAACTCTATACTCTTGCTGTTTTTCTGTGCCATCTAAGACGTTTTAATTGGTACTGTAAATAATCATTGAATAAACTTTTTAAAAAACAATAATTTTTGTATTTTTAGCTTAAGTCTGACTATATCGAATCTAAAGATGTTCATCAAGCTTTAGAAATTTGGAATTTAAAAATTCCAAAATATCAACTAAATCATATATTATCGCAAAATTATGGAAATAAAACTGATCAAAAATTATCAAGAGATGAATTTTTGCGTGTAAGTACATAATTTATCTATGACATAGATACTATCTATATGCTTTAAGTTTTTATTTTCAATTTTAGTTATATTATGATCTTTACACTCAAACAAATGTCGGAATGACGTACAAAACACTTGTTAAAACAAAACAAAATGTTGAACAATTTAGTACAAGTGATCGTGTTGAAAATAATCAAAGTGATTTGTCAATGAAAAATAATCAATCGGACAATACATCATCTGTTTATCATACAGCCACAGTTGAAGAACGTATTGCATTTACAGATTGGATTAATAAAAACTTAGCCGATGATTCATTTTTACAATTAAAAAAAAATCCAATTGATCCAAACGATCCACAAGCACTCTATCAACGTTGTGCTGACGGTGTTTTACTATGGTACGTAATATTCCAGTTAAAAGATAGATATAGTCAACTTAATTTAATAAATCAAATTAAATTATATTTCTTTTCTTTCCTTTTTTTTTTTTGTTTATTAGTAAATTAATAAACAAGGCTGTTCCAAATACAATCGATGAAAGAGCACTTAATATGGATACAAAATTCGATATATTTCGTAGCGGAGAAAATTTAGAATTAGGTACAAGAATTTAAATCTCTTCATTAATTCTCTACATATTCATTTGTCCGTTTTTCCAGCTATAAATTCTGCACGAGGAATTGGTTGTAAAGTTATTAATATTCATGTTGAAAATATCTTAAAAGGAATACCACATCTTATTTTGGGTTTATTGTGGCAGATTATTCGAGTAAGTTCCAAACTTTATTCTATTCGTCATCGATTAAATGCTACTTAATTTTACTTTATTTCACAGGCTGGTTTAACATATGACATTAATTTAATCCAGGTACCTGGTCTTTTGCAATTATTACGTGATGGAGAAACAGTCGAAGACTTGTTAAAACTATCTCCTGAAGAACTTCTGTTAAGATGGGTTAATTATCATCTGAAAAGATCCAGTTATAAAGGAAAAGAGGTTACCAATTTTAGCAATGATATAAAAGTATGATCAGCTAATTTACAAAGAACGTTTGTTGTACAAATCTGTTATTATTTAGAATTCCGAAGCTTATACTTATCTTCTACAACAAATTGCTCCAGCTGATACAAATCCAGCGTTATCACTAAGTCCGTTACAGGTATATAGGTCAACGAAAGCGATAGTAACAATCCTTTCTCACTGTTTAACTCGACCGATTCTACACTACAGCTGTTGTTTTAAGATAAGAAAACGATCCATTCTTGGTACCCTTTTTTGATCGTTAACGGATTATTATTGAGACGTTTTTTTAAAATCGATTATTTCTGATTTTGATCTCAAGAATATTACTTCTATAATTTTTCAAATTTTTAAGACTTTTTGGCATCATCAGAAGTGTCTGTTCTAGTGCTGTGATATTAACTCGAACAACAAGGGAATCTTTCCCCTGCTAAATGTCTAGCACTTGAGTTTTTTTTCCGAGAAAATTTTTCCGAAAATATTAGTGATTATTATATACTAGTGGCTACAACAAAGCAAAAAGATGACAGGCTCCATAAAAAACGACAGTCGTAAACAGACCTTTATCTTTTATTATAAATAGCGCTCTGTTTGCGTGCCATAAAGATTAAATGATTTGCATATGCATTTTCTTGCTATTGTCTTAATGTAGTACACAATGAATTTCTACTTTACTGACTGTACTGTAATTTTGTAAGAATTTAGACAAGAATTTTGGATTTGTCATTTTTTTCTCGCATTGTATCTGGTAGTTAGTTTGCTAGTCTTTGATTCACATCACTTCAAATATTACTGCGAGTTTTGATGATAAGAGACCTGAAGCGATGGGTATTTTTTCACTTTCTAGAATGTTATTTATTGTTTCATTTCAGGAAAACGATCTTCGATCTCGTGCAGAACTGATGCTGAAAGAAGCAGATAAGATAAAAGCACGTGCATTTATTTCCCCAAACGATGTTGTCAAAGGAAATCCAAAATTAAATTTTGCGTATGTTGTTATTGTGTTGATTTTAAGATTTTCCTTGCATTTGAAACGAAATTGAGAACACATAAATTTCCATTATATTATTCTGTTCTTAAACTTAAATCATCTCAAGATACAAAACCGTTTTTATACACAGCTCGAACATAACTTAAAACTGCTATTATCTTTTTATCTGAATTTATTACATACATTTTGAATAGAAACCTAAGAAATTAGAAAATATCTTTTTCAACATCTGACTGGAATAGAGTACAGACGGAGGAAGAAAACAATAAAGGAGATATTTGCTACATATGACATATGAGAAAAGAGATATCTACTTATGTATGAAACTCATAGAGAAATAGTGTAATTATAATTTTAGGTTTGTAGCAAATTTATTCAATTCTTATCCAGCCTTAGATGTACCTGTGGATCGTCCAGTAGACGAAGTTCTAGTACAAGAAACACGTGAGGAAAAGACTTATCGAAACTGGATTAATTCAATGGAATTGAAAGACATATCATTTGTTAATTATTTATACTCTGATTTATCTGATGGATTAATTATACTTAGAGTAAGATCAATGAATGAATAATGAACATGTATTTATCAAAACTAATCTTCTTACTTAATTTTAGTTGTACGATGAAATTCGTCCGGGAACAGTTGACTGGAAAAAAGTTTATGAAAAATTTCAAGCAATAAAAGAACATTTTCAAAAATTAAGTACGGTGTGCATAATGTACATTGGACGATATGTGTTTATGAGAAAGAAAGGCGTATTTTAATTTATTTTATCTTCTAGGCAATTGTAATTTGGCAATTGAAATAGGTAAAGAGCCGATGGGTTTAAAATTAATAGGTATCGGAGGTGCAAATATTCTCAATGGTAATAAAACATTAACACTTGGTCTTGTTTGGCAGATAATGCGTGCCTATACATTATCGTTATTAACTAAATTAGCTGGTACAAAGACACCCATCGCTGATAGAGAAATTATCGAATGGGCAAATAAAAAAGTAAGAAGAATTATGTTTTTCGAGCTTATAAATACAGAAATTTTCAGAAAATTAGCTATTATGTATTTTAAATATATGACGGTAGTTAATTCTATTTCTTCTGATTCTTGCTATCACAAAAAGAACAGAACACAATTTAGTACTTCATTTTTTATTATTATATGACAACATCGTAGTATTTTTCTGCTATTTTAAGTATGATAAATGCAATTGATTTCATTTCTATTCTCGTTTTTAATTATATGTATTCTGATTAATGAAAATGCCCTTAGTGTTTTTTCTTTTCTTGCTATTGAGTAGTCTCTTCTGCTTGCTTTTCACTAATATCATTCAATGTTTGACTCGTTTCTTACCTGATCTATTTTTAAGTTGCAAAATGGCAATAAAACACGATTTTTGAACACTTTTCAAGATTCAGATTTATCTGATGCAAAACTTTTATGTGATCTTATTGATGCCATCAAACCGGGATCAATTCAATATGAGTTGCTAAAAAATGTAAGAAAATTTAATCGATTACATAAATTAAACATAGAATTACCTATCTATACATGTTTCAGGATTCAATGGCGAATGCACGTTATTGTATATCAATAGCACGCAAAATAGGAGCCCGTGTGTATGCATTACCAGAAGATATTGTTGAAGGTTTGTATTTTTTTTTTAAAATAAGCTTTAGTCTTTCAGAATATAAGCGAAAAAAGTCCATGATAATATTCTAAACTATCGAAAAACACAAAATCAATTTTGTACGAACGGAGATTTGAACACATGATAAAGTCTCTATGACTTTTCTGACAGGATCCGAGACATATTCGACCAGTATCCTACTAGGATTTCGCTTTAATTTCTTAGAATCCCAAGAAAATCCTACAGAATCCTAATAAAATCAGGTATACCCGAAAGTCATAGGATTTTCTAAGATTCTATTAGGATCCTAAACAACCTTAAGCGAAATCCTAGTAGGATCCTAGCATTTTAGGATTCTGTTAGGAAGTTATTAGATAGATCTTAAATGTTAGAATTCTGTAAGATCCTAGTAGGAGATAGACAGGAAGTGCAAAGGATTTTGTCTACGGAAACTTAGCTTTGCAGTAAACTACGAAATTAAATCCACTGCTTCGTGTACTTTAGCTGGGCCACATACTTGAATCTATTTTATATTTTGCGTCTTTTCTTTCAGGGAAACATAAGATGATTATGACCATATTTGCTACATTAATGACAAGAGATTATCAAAATCGATAAATGAAATGTATATATGTATGTTTTTATTTTGTCATCATTTTTCTTTTTATTCTTTATTATGTAATTATCAATATAATTTTGAATTATAACTATTTCACTTAATAAATTATGTTATTTTCAAAATTTACTTCTGTCTCTGTTCTTCATGCATATGACACACTATCTTTGATTGGTTTTTCTGTGTCTAAAGTACCTTTGATGATGTTTTGATTTATTTATTTTTCTTGTATATGTGCACTTCTACTTTCTTTTATTTTTTCGTAAAAATGAAATAGAGTATTGCTGGTAAACATAGTTGCGTTTGAGGGTAGTTAAAATTTTGTCACACAGTCATAGTGCTCTTCGCCTTCTGAAGCTATCTTAAAAGCTAGTGCACTCGGATCAGTATAGGTTTTGTTTTTGTGTCTCTCTTCTTACCAAGATAAAAGAAAATTTTAATGTAAATCATTCATTGTAAAGATTTTCCTTGACAATTTTGAGAGACAACAGAATTGTCCGCATACCATACAATGACAGACCCATAATGAGTGTGAGAAACCGCCAGATAGAGGAAGTTAAACTAATGGTAATGATTCACTTTTACACTGTCTTGATATTTTTCTTGTTAATGATGTGAAATACCAATCCTTAATTTTGTTTGGAAGTACAAATTTTTTTCATCCTAAGAATGTCGTTATATAGCAGTGTAAAACTAGGATTAGAACATTTGACCAGAGTTGGCCCGTAACGGATGAAACATACTTGTGTTTATTTCTCATTCTACCCACACAAAAGAATAATCTATCGCAATTACTCATTCTCTAACTAATACCCATCTATAGCAAGGTATAAAAGTCAAACGTAATAACAGTTTAACTGTAAATCAATTAGTCGACCTTGTATATGAGATTAGTGGAAACGTAGATAAGAGTGATTTTACTCTTGCTTAATTTTACTCTTCCTGATAACCCGAAAGCATTTGATAAGGTCTAGCACGCCGCTTTACTTTACAACTTAAATACCTCAATGTAGTCAGAGTTTGAGACATCAGCGACAAAATGACACACAACACATACTTATAAAGAACATACTACAAATAAAATCCAAATATGTAGTATGATTTTATCTTTCACGGTGATATTTCTATATTTGCTTAAATCTCATTTTATTTATGTCAAAAAATGTTTTGCATACATCGAGTTTTGAATAATCATATCACATTGTTTATTTAAATGTTTGAAAGATATTCCATTGCTGTGTTTCGTTTAAAATTTCTGTAAAATATATTTGGAATATCATGTTTCAGAACAAAATGAGCATTTTTTGATGTATCGTAATAGGACTAAAGCAAGAATTCAAAAGATGGATGATCTATGTTTGAAGACGTTGACGACAGTATTCAAGAAGAAACGTTTCCTATTGAAATTGTCAATCAGATAATGAGCAACAAAGGCGTATTATATATCGAATTTACTCAGAGCAATGCTATCATAAATTTATGAATAAAATATTTTCTATTCTGGTGACAACTTCAGTTTTTTCATTCTTTATGAGTTCAGCATTATTGCCACCCACATGCAATCTATTATCTCTAATATTTCTATTGAACAATATTGATTCTTGATGAACAAAGCCAAACAAAGAATGGAAATTAAGAGATGTTATACTATGTTTCGTTCAGTAATAGAGAACCATCGATTGAATCATAAAGTTGTTGTAGTGAAATTTCTAGAAAAATCAAAAATCATTTAACCGTGCGAGAATTTTTCATATATAAAAATGTTTTGGTTATCTTCATAATATGATAAAGCTCAATTTTGAATAAAAAAACTAGTGAAAGCATAGCACTGGCATAAGTTATAATCCAACTAAAAGAATGTTACAACGATTTTATGTATTTTTAGTAAAAAAGAACTTTATTCTGAACTTGGTGATAACTAAAAATGAACGTTGTTGAGTAGAATGCCTCTTGTACTTGGGACTAAAGAATAATTCGGCGTTATCGAGTCAACAACAAAGATCCATTGTTTTTTTTGTTTTTACGATGTTATTTCACTATAGTTATGTGGGTTAATGTGATTTTTTGTTAAATTACTGATATTATTCGTTTTGCTGTTATAGTTGCTTTGGTGCCACCTCTCTGCGCTACTTCCTCCAGTAGCTGTAGGCACAAAATGTATCAGAATAAATAATAACTATCAAACAGAGCCTTTCTTATATGGTGGAATAGTTACGGATGCACATATCAAAATTTCATTTCGTCTTTATAAACTAGTTTTGAGCCCTCTTTAAACAGTCATTGCGAACTGTATTGTTCAATAAAGAGATCTTTTCTCATTATAATAATTAATGGTCCAGCATTCTCTCATGTTATATAGATGATACCCAACTGACTCAATATTCACCGTCATTGACACAGACAATGACGATGTGAAAGAAGCGTAAAACATTGTAGCTGATAATCGTATTAAATAAAACAATTTCTTTATTTGTTAAAACATAAAATGTGATACACCGAAATTATGTGTAGTATCCACTTGATATTCATATTACCTGTTTCGTCTGTTGATACTTTGCTAGATATAATAGACAATTTCATGAAACATTAATACATTAATGCAACAACGAGCTAGTGTGAGTGAAGTTTAACCTTTCTTCTCGGATGTCACATGTTAAAAACATTCGGTTTTACAAAACGAAACGTTTCACACTTGTACACGACTTTGTTTTAGGATGATCTAGATTTGACATCGCCTTTTTTTTACATAGGTGGAAAATGGGTGCTTTAACTCAGGTAACGAAGAAAAATGCTCTAAATTCTACGGATGGTAAGCATAGTATAAGAAAAGGATTGGAAATCGAACAAAGGCAATTCGAAAAGAATAAATAAAATACATTTTAATTAGACGAAAAATGTTTTTCGAAAAACAAACGAAAAACATTTTTCGTCCCTAATGCTTCGACAAACATTACAGCTTTAATAAGAGTATCAGTTTTTTTGATCATCAAACATTTTTAGATACAAATAATCCCCCCAAAAAAGATACTTTTAATCACCAAAATTTTTTTAGAGAGTTGTGACATTTCATCATCTCTTCTCTGCCTCTTCTTATATATATACCCTTCTTATATATATATATAGTTTACTCATTTGTAAAAATGCCGACATCAAACTGGATTCCATTAAGTGTAGTTAATTCACTTGATTATGTTAAAGTTGTTGCTAAATCACATGGTGTGAGTCAATATCGAACAAATAATCTTAATGATAATACAAAATATTCATTTAAATGTGGCCGATACCGTAAATATCCATGAGCACCAAAAAACAACGTGTAAACATTCTGTTGGATTAGCAATTTTATTTAACTTGCATCAAGTTAGCGATAAAACACGTATTCAACTATTAGTTAAACGAAAAGCAAAAGCGCGTCTCAAGAAAGTTAGCATAGCTTTGTAAATAGATAAAAATAAAACTAAAAATATTCTTCATTTGATTAATATTTCAATGAATATGTTTGTGTTGTACATTATACTTTGTTGATAATGAAAATGTGAGATTGAGGTGATGTGAGTGAGGTGAGCATTTGTATCTCAAAATGTTTGGTGATCAACAGCACATTTTTACTCTTTTCATAATCATAATACGAATAAATCAACTCAAACACTTTTTTCAAAGAAAGATAAGAAGCATTGCCCATAAGTTCCAGATTTTAGCTCGATGTCTTGTCCAAAGTATGATAAAGTTTTTGAAATAAACAACCTTTTTCAACGTAATTTTCTTTGCATATTTTTCAAATAAGAAAATGTTCGCATTCGCAATACATTAGGATGAAAATTCAGCGATTTATACGGAACTGAATATGCTAATTTTGGTAATCCATAAGTTCTAAACGTAATTCTTTTTACTAATGACAATAAGCACTATTATCAATGCAGTAACAATGTAATATAGCCAGGCTTTTTTGTTTATGTAGAACTTTCTGAAGTTTGCTTTATTATTAGATATTAGAGCAGCATAATTTTTTAAAAAAAAGACAGCACATGAATAGAAAAAAAGAATGAGTAAGAGTAAAAGACTTAGTAAAAAAAATATTTATGTTTCTAACTGTTGTCACCAAGATTAGTAAACAACAGAATAACAAAAAACTGTTTTCACATTATATATGCTTCTCTACAGTAAAATAAGAGCAGCAACAATAAAAGAATAGAGAAAAGATAAGAGAATATGACAACAACAATATGTTTTGTGACAATATAAAAGATAAGTTGACCATTGTTCATCTTTGTATCTAAGCATTTTCTTGGTCTTCTTCGCCTTCGCCACCCTCACCTTCTTCTATTGATGAAAAAGAAAAAACAATCATAAGTAAAACGTATCAAACGAAGAACCAACAGTCCTTTTCATCAGCGGGATCCGTCCAATCCGTCACGAATCTCTTATTGACATAATATGCCGGGAGAGTATACAAATTAACGGTCTTGACGAACACAAAGAACAGAGACGAATGAAGTTGTAAAAAGATAAAATTCATTTTTCGTAGCATCATACAGCGTAAAAACACATCTAAGAGAACGAATTGCTTAAAATAGGTGATATGTCGGAGTGGAAAAAACGTATTGAACAAATTGTAGTAAATATAGTTCAACTGGGAAAACATTATCGAAAAAACCGAAATCGATCGATGTATTTGACACAGTATGCAAAATTTCTGTGTTTAACTCTCTGTGCACTCTATCTATCGAGTTCTACTACGATATATACTCGAGCTGACAACCTACAGATTGATAGATTGGCAAAGCCCCGTTATAAAAAATGCATGCATTAATTCGAAATGGACTCTTTATTCGTTTATTCAACTGCTTGGCAGTAAAAAGCCGTATTTCGGATGGGAATGATTCAATCAACCTGACAAAAAAATGTCATCTAACTTATACTGCTCATACTCTAATAAATATTTTCCTGTTTAAACGGTAACTTGCAGCATGCACCAATCACTTACCCTCAGCCGTAGCATCTTGATATTGCTGATATTCAGATATTAAATCGTTCATGTTTGATTCAGCTTCTGTGAATTCCATTTCGTCCATACCTTCACCAGTATACCAATGTAAGAAAGCTTTACGACGAAACATGGCTGTGAATTGTTCACTAATTCTCTTAAACAACTCTTGAATAGCTGTTGAATTACCTGAAACGAAGAAGCAAAGGTTGCTTTATATCAAAAGCTTACTGCTCTTTTCATACGCTAAACATCTTTACACTGCCAAGTTTTCTCCGAAAAAACAATTGCCTTCTTATAGAAAAAGTAATTTTAAGATTTCGAAAAAGATTTCCACTCTTATAAGATGTATATCGAACTTACCAATAAATGTTGCCGACATTTTCAAACCACGTGGTGGAATATCACAAACAGCTGTTTTAACATTGTTAGGTATCCACTCGACAAAATAAGATGAATTTTTATTTTGAACATTCAACATTTGTTCATCAACTTCCTTCATTGACATTCGTCCACGAAAAATGGCAGCCACTGTTAAGTATCGTCCATGACGAGGATCACAGGCAGCCATCATATTCTTGGCATCGAACATTTGTTGTGTCAATTCAGGTACGGTTAATGCACGAAATTGCTGACTACCACGTGATGTGAGAGGAGCAAATCCAGGCATAAAAAAATGTAAACGTGGGAATGGAACCATATTGACTGCTAATTTACGTAAATCAGCATTCAATTGACCTAATAGTAGAAACATAATGTTTTCTTTAGTCAGCAGAATAACAAAAACTATTTACCGGGAAATCTTAAGCAAGTGGTAACACCAGACATTGTGGCACTAACTAAATGATTCAGATCTCCGTATGTTGGTGTTGTTAATTTCAATGTTCGAAAACAGATGTCGTACAATGCTTCATTATCAATACAATATGTTTCATCTGTATTTTCGACTAATTGATGAACGGACAAGGTTGCATTATATGGTTCAACAACCGTGTCACTGACTTTTGGTGATGGTACAACACTGAATGTCATCATTATACGATCTGGATATTCCTCACGAATTTTTGATATTAACAATGTACCCATACCGCTACCAGTTCCTAAAATGAAAAGAAACAAAAATTCAAAAAACTAGTCGACAGAAATTATCTATTGAGCACCCCTAGGCTTTTACATATTTCGTGCAAGAGTCAGACTTTCGATCAGAAGGTGCATAATTCGTTTCAGTGTTTTCGAAAAATTTAGTGCTAATGATAGAATTTAATGAGCAAGCATCGCTCTTTCTCTTGATTCAGTTTCCGAGTGCCATCCCTTATAGATGCCTCACACGTAAGTGCCTAATCCACCATTAACCTTTTTCCTAGATAAGAGTCATTTTCAAGAGTAAACATTTTAGATAAATTTTGGCGAAAATCATATATCTCTTAGTTGAATTCTTGCTGATTTATTCAAGCTTTTCAGAGAGATTAATCAGAAACCACTTGATATAGTATCACCATCAAATTTTTAGTCAAAACTACCTATATGAACTGATTTTGATAATTTTCTAATTTAATGCAATAAAGGTCTGTTGATTGTGCCATAAAACACGGCCATAAAACTCACTTCGTCCGAGTGAACCTTCTTGCTGTCTGAGTAATACTCAAAATCCCACAAGGAAACATAAGAACAATTCTGCTGTACTTCATATATAGTCGATTGCCGAAAATTCATCGCGTTTCCTGAGAGAAATAGCACCCCTTGTCCAAAATGGCAGATCTGAAACCAAAGATCTTTGTGCCTTTCAATATATTTTCAAATATAATATAACACATACTCTATTAGAAAATGCGATCGATAGTACTACGTTTCGTTTTAATTAGGCCAGCCCCTGCGATAAATGTCGATTTGTGCTTCTCGGTAGGTACTCAAACGAAAGCGAGTCGCAGCGCCCACAGTTGCATCGTTTTGTACCAGAGCTCCATATGGACTGTTGTTTTTCCTCGATTCAAGTGAATCCAAAACGTTTTTCCGAGTACAGACCGGTCCATGGTCTTGAAAGTTTGAGTCCAGTCCAGTCCAGTCCAGTCCGAGTCTATGAGTTCAAAAAAATTTCAGTCCAGTCCTGTACATACGGAGCTCTGTTTTGTACCATATGCTATGTGTGCTAAATATATTTATACTGTGTATTTACTGAGTTACAAGAGCTTTAAGATGACAGAATATTCAGATTTTTTTGGTATTGCTTTGATAAAAGTTGAATATAACAACATTAATCCCGATTGCAGACCTACAGTACTCGTCAAAATTTATGTAAATTCTTGATCTAGAAAATGACTTTCACCGAGAAAAAAGTTGAAATGATCGATTGAACAGTTTTTCGGTCTCGAGGTAGCCGAATTGGCTCTGCAAAAAATTGCCTTCGTTTTGATTAATTTCAAAAAATTTCGTTAATCTGATTTATTCAAATTATAGAAAAATTCTAATCATTTCCGGTTCTGCTCCCACAGGGCATAATGACCTTGATAAAAGAATCTGTTGCCGTTTCATTCAAAAAGGAAATTATTAGATTCTTGTATACACAATTTGCAACTGTAATTCATTTTATTCTACGCTATTATGGACGGAATACGAAAAATCTTTTTTCTTTGAGAAGAAAACGTGATTAAAACGGAAAACCTCTTATTCTGGAGTGTAAGAAAGAAATCTATGCTGCAAAGGGATAGAGAAAGACTAATCAGTTACCTTTTATTTTAAAAAAAGTGATTGATAAAAGAAGTATATGTCGAACTATATACTTCATTATTACACTCATTATTACAAAACCTTGAGAAAATGTGTAGAGATTAATTCTGTATGTGCTTGCTACGAAAGAGTTTACCGACGTACATGATTTGTCCCTTGCGCGAATTTAACAAATACTGATTTTGTTTTACTTACCACCGCCTAATGAATGTGTAAGTTGAAATCCTTGTAGACAATCGCACGATTCGGCTTCTTTTCGAACAACATCCAAGACACTGTCAACTAATTCAGCACCTTCTGTATAATGGCCTTTTGCCCAATTGTTACCAGCGCCAGACTGACCTACATAAAAAAAACACGCTGTTGTTTCAGAGATGCGCAAACATTTCTTATCAATCATACCAAAAACGAAATTATCTGGTCTAAATAACTGTCCAAATGGTCCGCTTCGAACACTGTCCATAGTGCCTGGTTCCAAGTCAACTAACACGGCTCGTGGTACATATTTTCCGCCTAAAAGAAGGATTTGAGAAATAGAATAAAATACATTTGACGTTGACAGACAATGATCCTACCTGCAGCTTCATTATAATAAACATTAATTCTTTCTAATTGTAAATCAGAATCGCCATGATAAGCTCCTGTAGGATCAACACCATGTTCATCTGAAATAACTTCCCAAAACTAAAAAGAAAAGAAGAGGACTGTTTTTGTACAATGAACTCTATTCGTTCCTCGGAAGAGTACCTTTTGATCTAGTATGACATATCATTAGCGAAGAAATCGATCATAATGATAAAGATATAAATATGAAGAGTACTAACTTGTAAAAAAAGGAGAAGACACAAAAATGCATACACATTTACTAATTTTTTTACAGTATGTTGGGTGAGAGATTTTCTAACCGCTATCGATTGATTGTGAAGATAGAAGAAATGATAGTGATGACTATTCAAATTTTGAAATATGCGTGGGCGTAAGAAAGATAACTATGAATCAAACAGCTTGTACATTATCTGGATTTACTTACTTTCGCTCCAATTTGATTTCCACATTGTCCAGCTTGTAAATGTACGATTTCTCTCATAATTAATTTATTTTAAAACTAGATAAATTTGTAAATGAGTGGTTGTCGTTTGTCGTCAGTATTGTCTAACTCTTATTTGAGTGTAACGAATGAATGCGTTATATCGTAGTTTTAAAGTTTCTTTTCTTTTTTTCTTCTGCTTTGTTGTATACACACACTTCACTGCATCCCATACGTTGAATTGCCAATAGAACTGCGACAAATAGAGATTTTCTTTTTTTTTCTCTATTCTCTCTTATTCCGTTATAATAACGTTGTGAAGAAGAAAATACGCTTTAAGCGTAGGATATACACCTATGAGGGAACATCTTCTCGAAAAAAGCTAGTAAAAATTTGATAACTTGCGAAAGGAAAGAGTTACAAACCTGAAACTTCCTCGTTTATTGATAGACGATTATTAGACTGTAGCGGAAAAATTTCAAACCTTAATTCGCTATTATTGCAAAATTGTGAATCTTTTAGTTTTGTATGACGTATAGTGCAGACAAAGAAGAAGAAGCAAATATGAGCAGAAATCCTTTTAGGCTTTTTACTAAGACACTACCTTTTATCTATCGGCCAAAGATCATTGAAACTGGAGGTTATCATCTGAAGATATCCCTGGTTAGCTACTTCAAACGAGAAGACACGAAAGAACAACGATCATTTACAGATAGAAACATTATTAGGAATCTAGTAAATAAGGAGATATCTCTTTCCACATAAGATGTGCCATGTGCGGATATTTTTTCGTTTAAACGCGTCGATAGAAAAGAAAGAGAACAGAAAGATATGCATGTGCGAAAAGAGATATATAGCTAGCTATCTCTTTATTTGCTAATTCTTTTGCGTTTTATTTCTTTCTGTCTTCTCGTTCGAAGTAATCTAGTCTAGATAGAATAATGTAGTCTATATCCTACACTCAAAGCGTATTTTCTTCTTCACAACGTTATTATAACGGAATAAGAGAGAAAAGAGAAAAGAAACGAAAATCGCTATTTAGTCTATCGCAGTTCTAATATCTCTCTATAGAGCTATATACGTCGGAACTGACGGAGAAAAAAAGAGAAACGAAGAGAAGAAGACAAATATTTCGTTACGTATTTGTTATCGATGTGCATGTAGCTACCAAATATCTTTATGAAGAAACGCAGAGTGATTTATACTTCACACGATAAAACGCAAAATTCTGAAAATTACTCAGAAGAGAGGCTAAATTTAGTATAGAATAATAGATTCAACGAAAACCATGATCACGTCTTTTGTTCGCACGATCTACTTAATAAGATGTTTATTTTTACTTATACTTTTGGTAGTGTTTGCGACTATTAGCATATGAGTAATGTTAGTTTAATTTTTTCTTTCGATAATAATGTTTCTGAAAAAACTTTTTTTAAACAGTTTTCCTTTTATTCACGAAATAATGGTAAAATAAAAATAAAAAAAATAAAAGTACAACTACCAGAGAAAAACACTTATTCGGCAATTCGAGATATCCCATTGTATGCCCGATTCTAGATGAACATGCTGGAACAAAATGAGTATATAGAGAAGAGAGATTATACTAGTGTTGGTGAAGAGAGAGAGAGAGAGAGAGAGAGAGAATAGGGAATCGAATTTTGAGATCCACTGCATCCATGTGACGTCCTGCTCATAAAGGTTTAATACATCATGACTGATTAAATCTCCCAGTAGTATCAATAGATTGGAGAATGGTTGTATACACTCCTATCAGGTCCTGCTTAGCCAGTGCTCGGATAGATTCATGTTTCAAAAGTATGTGCTCCAACGTAATGTGATTATCATTAAGAACAATACGCAGCTGCTCAAACATAAAATCACGAGACTTATCGTAAATAGCACAATCCATGAAAAAATGTTTAGTAGTCTCTCTATTAAAGCCACATGCACACCGCCGATCACGGATTAACGATAAACGAAAGGACGAAATATATTGCAAGACTAATCTGAGTTTAAAATCAGTCAATTTATGTATTGAACGTATATCGCTAGGTAGAAGATTCCATGCACGAATACCATCCCGAATAAAGGATTTCTCCGATAACGCCCGACCTCTTAAGTTCAAGGAGATGTCTCCTCGACTGAAACTTCGAGTTTGATAAACCTGGGGTCGTGGCATAGGAAAAAGTTCCATAAGATAAGTAGCAGTTTTACTATGCATGATTTTATGAAACAAACACATGCGTCGAACGTAAATAAGCTCATTAATTGATAACCATCCGAAGTCTTTAAGTTTCACATGTGAAGTGCCCCTCATAGCCCCAGAGGCAGCTAAAGCAGCCTGATATTGAAATGGTTCAGACAATTGATATTGCGTAAATCAGTACCACCATAAATAACGATTCCATAGTTGAGAATACTCAACACGAAGGCATGATACACAGAGTCAAGAGTTTGTCGAGAAACCTGCCTACTCAAAAACTTCATCGATCCAACTATATGTGACACACTGATATAAAGGCTATTTATGTGCGTGTATGTGTATTTTCTCCATTCCAAGGTAGTAGTCAATGTTAATCCCAAATGGACATGCTTCTCAACATACTCTAGTACAATGTTACCAATGAACAAAGGAAGTAAATGGCTCGGAATGCTTCCACAAGTGAATAGCATACAAACACACTTATTGACGTTTAGAGGCAACGCCCATTCCTTCGATCACTGGCGTATTTTTTCCAAGTCTTGATTCAAAACTGACGCAGCTGTAGTCAAATCATCTGCCTTAAGGTACAGCGAGATATCATCTGCAAATAGTTTGGAAAAAACTTCATTATCCTTATATTTCAATAGCAACAAATGTAAATGATAGAACTTTGATCAAAAAAATTACATTTTACATTTACAATGTTTTTTTTATCAGCTGCGCTAGAACAGAATTCTGTTCTGGCGCAGCTGATAAAAAAAACATTATAAACGTAAATGTAATTTTTTTGACCAAAGTTTTATCATTTACATTTGCTGCTACAGGCCTATTCGATCTGGTGAGATCGTTATCTGTCTGTCTCTTGTAGTAAACGAATACTGTTACTTATTTCGTTTGTTGATATTTATGTTAGATGCATAGAGCCAATGCCCATTACTCGTCGAAAATACTGTTTTTTTTCCCAGTTTTCACATATGTGGTAGATTATAGGATTTTGAACAACTTTGTCATTTAGTATAGCATCGAAATTGGCTTCTGAGAGACGGCGAAGATTTATTTCTGTTTATCCGTGCCATTTACACGAGATTATCATAATTACCCCATGAAAAATAGTTGTGTTATCATAATTACCCCAAAGAAGAAAAATGAAAAAGATGACTATGTCTTTTACTTTTCGTAATTTTTAATTAACTAATTTAGATTAAGTCCAAATGACTGCCAATTCATACGGGAGATAGAGCAGAAAATTCTCTACAAGATGGTGTAATTTTTAGTCAGTTTATTCTAAGTTTCCTGTTGAAATTAAATGGTTTAAGTTCATTTCAGCTATTTTGGTTGTAGTTATCATAATTACCCGATGAAAAATAGCTGTGTTATCACAATTCTCCCAAATGTGGGAATTATGATAATTCTAAACTTATTCACTGGAAATCGATTAGAACTAATTAATGTTAATGAATTTTAGAAAAAAATTTACATCAGTAGATAGCTAAGAGTCAGCTCTATCTACCTGCGTAATACTGATTTTCTCCGGTGAAAAATGACTTAAATATGCTGGAAAATATCTGGAAAGTTTTAGGCGATTATCAGAATTACCCCATTTGACTCTACTTGTTTTGAATAATCTTCTACATTTTTGGCAGATATTGCGGAACATCAGATCTTGCACAAATCTTACGTTTTGGATTGTCAAAGTGTTTCTAGGATGCTTACGTTCGATCGAAGGTGATACTTAGATGTTGTCTTATTACTACGTTTTTTGTCTAACTTGTAATCTGTCAGAGATTTGTCTTCTCCCATAAAGAGAGTGTCATAAAGTGGATCATCCTTAATTCTTCTTATAATTCAAGTTTCAATGACCGGCATCAAAGAACATCAACTCATTAATCGATTCTTGCAACCTTACGAACAAATTTTTTGTTTTATTTTGCGTCGCTGCTTAATGATGTATCATCAGCGAAAAGGTTACTGCTGCATTTCAAAATACAATAATGAATAAAGTAGACATTAATAATGAAGGAGAGGATTTTTTCAGAGTACCTTGTAGAAAGAAGGGTAAATTTCGTTGATGTTGTACGTTCTTATATTCAATGAGTAGTTTGATGATCATTCAAAAACTGAAAAATCCATATCCAAACTAGCTTTTGACATCCTTACAGTACCCCGAATTTATTCACTCTTGACTCATAAACAGAAAGAGCAGGCTTTTGGTTGATTCAAGAGATATAGACAGCTCAAAAAGCGTGGTGAACTAGCGAACACAAGCATCTAACATTGCATAGAATGACGAATTAGAACTATTTTAAGAGTCACTTTAACTGTCACTTTTGTACTAAATTTTCTAAACGTAGAGACGTTTGCCTCAAGTTTCTTTCACTTCTTTATCTGCATCGAAGTGTTAATGTTACGCGATGGGTCTCAGCTTGTACATATCTTCGAAACATTTATTGAATGTATTCACTTTTGCTTGACAGAATGATGTTTTATTTCATAATCTAGTTCATGTCGTAGCTCACAATGTGTAACAGCTTGCACCTTTATACTAGCTTAAGTATATATACTTAAGACATTATTCTTCTTAACGCCATGTAACACATTTATCTGATCAAGAACGCAGAAAGACGTATCATACAATGATGATGTAACAAATATTTTAATTTTTAATGGTACATAATTATATGAATGATTTGACTAATTTTTTATTGTTGAATGATAACTACTTCGTTGCTCTCAAAGAAGATACTTATGTCTCTAATAGCTGTGAGAGATTAGCCATGTTTTTCATCTAAGTTTGAAGATTTTGTAGCCACTGCTGAGAATAATATTACTTTTTGGCTAGTTCAAGCTATGGTTAAAC